AATTTATAAAAAAGAAAAAGAAAAAAAGAAAAGAAATAATTAATATTAATATAAACATTATTCACAGGAGGGCTCAGACTTTATGTAGGGAATTACAAAGGGGTCGATGTGCCAGAATTCTGCTACAACACCCCGGTGTGACATTTAGACACTTTCTCCGTGAAAGCATCGTCTCGCCCCATCATTCAATTACTTGTTTGCTTCATTGTATAGCCCGGTTAGATTTCACGTATGATAATATCGGCTTCTTGTTCAAACGTGATATTTGCAGTAAATTCTGCTAATACACATCGTTGATTCGGCTTGTTGGTGTGGTCGGGATCCCGTCACACGGTCAGGTTTATGAAGGACAAGCATAGACTACAATGGAGACAATAAGGTGTCGCGTTCTGTCTGGAAGAGTGCGTGGCCTAATTAGATGTGACAGCGTCATTGTGCTTACAATGTGATGTGGCGAAGGATATTGACAGTCTGTGGTTATTCATCTAAATGTACAATTGTACAGTAATGACATCAGGTGTTCGCGGAACGGATAAAAATATACCACCCTACCTACCGATTGCGTCATTAGTAAAATTGATCTCAACAACTCAACCGACAGCTGGTTAAAGTACTCCCGTTAAGTGAGTTTGTCAGCAATATGTCGGCAATATCACGACGGGCGACAAATGAAATTGGCTTCACACACTACCCATGTGACGAATCGAACTCGGGTCTTCGGCGTGACGAGCGAAGGCTTTAACCAATTGGCTACTACTCTCCGTGAAGATCCGGGTTAGAATAGGTCTTCAGCAACCAATGCTTGCCGTAAAAGGCGACTATGCTTGTCGTAAGAGGCAACTAACGGGATCGGGTGGTCAGGCTCACTGACTTGGTTGATGCATGTCATCGTATCCCAATTGCGTGGATCGATGCGCAGGATGTCAATCACTAGATTGTCTGGTCCAGACTCGCTTATTTACAGATCGACGTCATATAGCTGGAATATTGCCGAGTGCGACATTAAAAACAAACAAACAAACAATCTCTCCTTTAAGAGATATATAAACCCAATAATATGACACGTAGAGACATGCGTGATTTTAGTGCTGTTGTATAGTATTACCATCCCATGTTTATAGGTGCATGGTTATAAATTAATATGTTGGTTTACCCAGACAAATCGATTTAGTGGAACACTCGATGCTTTTTCTCTTGTATTCTTGTACTCTTAGCATCTTTGGCCTTATTGTCAAACCTAATGCTAAATCACATCTGTTATCAATGTTTATTTGATATTTAGAATAAATTAAATCATCTTATCATCTTTCCAGATCAGATCAATAAGACGTAAGTGATTGGAATTGTTATTACTGAAAGCTCTGGTCAATTATTAGAAAGAGTTCTTCGTGTTACATGTTATATTAGTATAATAAACAGATACGAAATAATATCTCGATAATATAAGAACAAAACCTTTTAGTGCATTAGTCTGGATATTTTATGAGTAATATTAAAACAATTGTGGCATAATAATCTTTGAAATTAATAACTTTGTTTCGCAATCACTATCATGAGGCGTAATCATCTAAGTCTTTGTGCAAGCTGCAATGGAAATTAATATTAGATGCTTTTGTATTTATCTTCTGATTATTGTGCAAATATGAACGATATTGAAAACGTTTTGTGTCACTGAGGACCTGCGTTAAAGATGAACAGGTAGGCTGAGGTGAGGTAAAATGGGGTTTAACGTCGCGTCCAAGATTATTGCTCTTATATAGGGACGTGCATGCACGTGTGTGAGTGTGGCTGCTTGTACTAGTCCGGAATGATGCCGATTTAACATGAATACCCCACTCAGACACAGTATACTGACTCCGAGCCGACCAGTCCTTGTTTTAGCCCCTGTATGCCGAGCGCGAGGCAGGGTACAAACAAGTACCATATTTTAACGTCTTTTGGTATGACGCGGTCGGGAATCGAACCCCGGAACGTCCGCTTTCCGGGCGGACGCTCTACCACTAGACCAAGGAGGCGGTCACAGGTAGGCTGAACTTCCAGATCAATTAAATACTCTCATTGATAACGATATTCATTCACAGTAATGTTGTGCTCGGCTGCTGATAGAATGCGTAGGCTGATTGGAACGTTTTCTTTTGCCAAGTGGTTGAGACGATATCGATACCACAACGTTAACTAACGTGCTTGTGGCTGCAAAATGCTTTTTTCTTTGCTGACACACTGTGACATTGTAATGTTGTAGTTCTCACACCAGAGAAACGTTCTTGCAACAGCGTGCCATCGTCGTGTGTTAGCTGAGTTTATGAACATTCAGAAAATATTGTGAAAAACTAAACACAACACAATAATAGCTGAAACCCCGTTTCCTAAAGATAGTTGTTAGTCAACTGGTCATGTCAGTGTCATAACCACGGCATATATACGGTAGATATGTACTTCCTTCGCTGACACAATTGCATACCAGACATACCGAGGGAACAGTTAGCACTGATTCTATGTTTAGTTGGTGTGATGTGAACTGCTTGTTGACCTTTGGTCGAATGATGATGATGTAATGATGTCTTCCCTCTTAGGCGGACTGCGTGATTCCATGAATGACCTTGAACTTGATATATGGGGCGAAACTCTGTTACTAGTCTCTGATAATGTTTAGAAGTGCATTTGCTCATAACCCCTTCACTATGACATGTAATTAGTTTAACTGTTTAGTTTTACAATATATTCATAATATCTTATCTTAATGCATCTTCAATACTTAAGGAAATAAAAAGCCATTTCTATCTATGTACTTCCTTCGTTGACACAGTTGCATAGGCATATCGAGGGTACAGTTAGCGACTGATTCTACGTTTATTTGGTGTTCCTTGAGCTCTATTACCCATTCAACCATCCAGTCTCTCACCTACCAAGTCTACTGCTCATAAAGACCATATTGATGATACCAGCGGGCCATCATCACTGGCTACATCATGGCATATCCCCAGACAGCAATCACTGTGTACATAGAAGCTAGCCGTTACGTCTGACACGTTTCAGGGTCACCACAACGTCATACTTGTAACTACAGAAAACCGTGCAAGGCACTTCATCCAATCCCAAAGACCCTGTGAGGACTTACAGACCTCAATATTTGCCTACTTGTGAGTTCTGTAGCACCGACAACAAAGGACGTCCTACCTACGTGTGAGTTCTATTGCACAAATAACAATGGGCGTCCCAGCTTCTATGAAATACAACGAGGTTTATGTGATAGGACTCTGCTTGTGATACATAAACATTCTATTAGCCTCCATTGTTCTTGCTCTTCTTTATAAAAGAGACTTCTAATTAGGCTCCGAATGGTTTCCCACGAAATAGTTGAATTTTGCATCCTACGTGTTGACGTCTAGTCAATGTTAGACGACAAGAACTAAGGTTTTGGGATCGATCCTAAAAAAACAGGACATTTCTGAGAGGCTACTTATAGTCGGAAGTGCCACTAAACACGCATGTTGTATCAAACAGTTGAGCCAATAAATACAAATCATTATGTACTTTATCTGTTTTAAAGCCGTAATTAATTTACTTTTGTTATGAGTTCGGAGTGATTGTACTACTTATGATTTCCGATAGTGTGAATCGATGAGCGAAACGCGTTTAGACGTGATTGAAAAGTCTTTTCCTCTGCATGCAAACAAAGAGTCCTAAATGGTGCTTCTTAAACACTTCAGGGATGTCTAAGAAAAGGACTCAAATCCACGATTTCAGAACCCTTAGATCGTCAGTTCACAAAGGCCACCGTTTTGATTAAATTGTTTACCTAACATGTACCAGTAAAAGGAAACTTCTTTTTAAAACTTCCGTGACACGCGTGTACCCAAAAAGGAAACATCTTCAAAATGGGGTTTAGTGAATCAAACAGTAGTCTTTTTAAAACTTCCGTGACACGCGTGTACCCAAAAATGCGGTTTACGTATCTCACTGTATGACCAATTACTTTTTGTCTCTATAATTCGTTCAAAGATGAAAAAGGCAACGATAATTGTATCTTTAGCCTAAAGACGACACCTTCCTTAATGTTGTTCTCATGTGTAAAATATTAGGTTTTGTTTGATAAATTCTGATGGTAAACAGAAGTCGTTCATGTAATGTTATCAGTGGTTCGGAAAACGTTGTTACGTAACGCACGTGCAATACGTGCTCGGGCTTGGCTACCGATTGTCACTTGTCGTCTGATGAATAAAGGAAGTGGGAAGTTGGCAGGTTGTCTCTTGGTTATTGAAAGAACACTACAATTTTGGCGACGAGGATGGGATTCTACATGTGTGGTACCAAGAAGACCAATCTGTAAGTTGGTGACGAACATTCGCTCTGTGTTAATGGGACTGATAGCGCTTGTTGTAGTGTGCGCTGTGCTGTTAAAAATGGCGTCCTCAACATATGGTCGAATGGAGGAATTTTCATTGTCTGGAAATGTAGACTGGGTTGAGTATATTGAAAGACTTAATCAGTATTTCGTCGCTAACGACGTTGAAGATGCCGGGAAGAGGAAAGCGATATTGTTTACCGTAGTAGGTAAGGAAACCTACTCTCCCATGAGGACTTTAGTCTCACCGGCAAAACCCGCTGAAAAGTCATATGCAGAATTGGTTGATGTCGTTAAAAGCCATGTGAATCCCAAACCGTTAGTTATCGCTGAAAGATTCAAGTTTTATCAACGAAAACAACGCTCTGGTGAATCAGTGAGTGCATTTATGGCTGAACTACGCAAACTGAGGGAACATTGCGATTTTGGTGGATTTCTTGATGATGCAATGAGAGACATGTTTGTGTGTGGACTCGCTTCAGCAGCTATGCAGCGTAGATTGCTTGCTGAGAAGGATTTGAACTTAAAGAAATCAATGGAAATATCTTTGAGTATGGAAGCTGCGAATAAGGAGACCAATGAGTTTAGTCATAAAGTGAATGTACTAGTGAAGTCTGACAAGAACCGGAAGTATTCAGATAAGCCAGTTAGATAGATGTCTCGGGATAACCGTGAATGTTGGCGCTGTGGAAAGAAAAACCACAACAGTGACAATTGCTATTACAAGAAAAGCATATGTCATATCTGTCAGAAGCAAGGACACATTAGCAGGAGGTGCCATGAGAAACCACAGGAGAAGAAGGCCCATAAACCAGAAAAACTTAAGAAAAAATCATCCAAAGTCAGGTATATGGATTCAACAGTGGAACATGAGCTACCTGATGGCAGTGATGAGGATGCAGACTCTTATGATGACACATTGAGTAATACTTTATTCACTGTAAAATCTATTGCAGGTGATAAGCCCATCTACATTCCTATGTGTGTTGAAGGGTCAAACATTTCATTGGAGTTGGATACTGGAGCTGGAGTAACTTTGATTTCGGAGGAGCAGTACAAGAGAGAGTTTAGGCATATTCCGCTGAAAACCACAAACCTGCCTTACTTGGAGACTTATACTGCAGAAAAATTACCTGTTTTGGGAAAAATACAGCTGGATGTTGACTATAATGAACAGTCTATCACTTTACCTGTATATGTGGTGACAGGAAGTGGACCGGCGCTCCTAAGCAGAAACTGGCTATCTCAGATACAGCTTGACTGGTATTCCATTGGCAGAGTCAATACCGTGCGAGTTGACAATTCCCAGAAGGACTTGGAACAGTTGTTGTCAAAGTATTCAGCCTTATTTGATGGCAGTTTGGGAACTGTAAAGGGTGTTAAGCTTCATCTGTCTGTTAAACCCGGAGCAAATCCAAAGTTCTATAAACCAAGAACTGTTCCATATGCACTGCAGGATAAGGTAGCTGAGGAATTGGATAGACTAGAGAAGATTGGGGTCATTGAGAAAGTGGAATATTCTGAATGGGCTGCTCCCATTGTACCAATACTCAAACCTTCAGGCGCCGTGAGGATATGGGGGGATTATAAGCTGACAGTGAACAGAGACTTGGAGGTGTCTCAGTATCCTTTGCCTGTGCCAGAAGATTTGCTCAACCAACTGAATGGTGGGACGAAATTCACCAAATTAGACCTATCACAAGCCTATCAACAAGTGTTACTTGATGATGAATCTAAGAAATATGTGACTGTGAACACCCATAAGGGTCTTTATCGTTATACACGATTACCCTTTGGGGTCGCTTCAGCCCCTGCTTTATTCCAAAATGTCATGGACCAGGTATTACAGGGTCTTCCAGCAACTGGCGATTTCATAGATGACCTGTATGTCACTGGTAAAGATGACAGTAAACACCTGAAGCACATTGATAATGTGTTTGAACGTTTGGATTCTTATGGCATCAAACTAAACAAGTCGAAGTGTACTTTCCTTCAACCATCTATGGAGTACCTTGGTTTCAGGGTGGACAGTCAAGGTATTCATCCGACGGAATCCAAGATTGAAGCAATCCGGAATGCACCGCGACCAACAAATCTGACAGAACTACAATCCTTTTTAGGGTGTGTGAACTATTACCGGAAGTTTATACCAGATATGTCCACAGTGTGTGCACCATTAAATAAACTTCTGCAGAAAGGAACAAAGTTCCATTGGGACAGCTCGTGTGAGAAAGCCTTTCAGAAACTATGTAAGCATTTGACTACATCTGATGTACTAGTGCATTATGGCCCAAAGCAGCCTCTGATCTTGGCGGCAGATGCATCTCAGCATGGTTTAGGTGCAGTCATTTATCATGATACAAATTCTGGGGAACGACCTATAGCGTTTGCTTCACGAACGCTGACAGCCGCTGAGAAAAACTACTCTCAGATTGAGAAAGAGGCTTTGGCTATCATTTTTGGAATCCAGAAATTCCATAAGTACTTGTATGGGAGACATTTCACCCTGTTTACGGACCACAAGCCACTAACAAGTATTATTGGGCCTAAAACAGGAATTCCTGTACTCGCTGCATCAAGACTGCAGAGGTGGGCCATCCAGCTATCAGCTTACACTTACGAGATCAAGTATAAATGTACGAAACAAAATGCTAATGCAGATTGCCTTTCCAGATTACCATTAGCCGATACCGATGGTCAGAAACCCACTTCACACACATTTTGGACACGAGAAGCTACTTCAGTGCATATTGCTCAGCTAGATAATCTGCCTGTTACATCCAGAGACATATCAGCTGCAACTGTACGAGACAAAGTGCTATCTCGAGTGAAACATTTCACTGTTTGTGGTTGGCCTTCAGTAGGTGATATTTCTCATGAATTCCTGCCGTATTATAGAAGGAAGGACGAGTTGACATGTGAAGAGGGCTGCTTACTTCGGGGAGTGAGAGTAGTAGTACCCACTCAGTACCGAGTTGAGATTTTGGATAATCTTCATGACTCTCATCCGGGGATTGTTCGCATGAAATCTCGAGCAAGGATTCATGTGTGGTGGCCTAATTTGGATACGGACATAGAGCAGCTAGTTAGAAACTGTGCATGTTGTCAAAGTGTACAACCGGTCCGACCTACAACTAGACAGAATCCCTGGATCTGGCCTTCCCGTCCTTATCAACGGATTCACGTTGACTTTGCTGGCCCCTTTATGGGTGAGAACTTTCTTATTGTGGTGGATGCTATGTCCAAATGGCCTGAAGTAGTTCAGATGAAATCAACAACAACAATAAGTACCATAAATGTTTTGAGAAAGCTCTTTTCTTCTAATGGCCTTCCCGATCAGCTAATCTCTGACAATGGACCTCAGTTTACCTCTCACGAGTTCAAGTCATTTCTGAAGAAAAATGGAGTTAAACATATTCTGTCCTCGACGTACCACCCAAGCTCTAATGGTGAGGCAGAACGATTCGTCAGAACGTTTAAGACTACTATGAAATCCATGAGGGCATCTACGTCTACTCTTCAACAGCGACAGTGCAGATTTCTGCTGTCCTACCGAACCACACCTCACAGTACAACGAAAACGACCCCTGCAGAACTGTTCATGGGGAGGCGTATTCGTACTCGACTCGACTTGCTGAGACCAGATCTTGCTTCTTCAGTTCAAAGAAAAGTGTCTCCGAAAGTAGATGCTGTGAGGCATTTCGAAGTTGGCGACCCAGTCCTGGTGAGGGACTACAGGGGTCGTACCGAACAATGGCTCCAGGGGGTTGTACTAAAAGCATTAGGTCCTGTGACTTACAAGGTTCAGGTAGAGAACTTTGAGTGGAAGCGCCATGTTGATCAGCTGATAACTATGCCAGGTACGCCTGATCTATCAGTAACATCCACTACGGAGGACATAACAATCTCTGATAGGTCTGAAAGTGCGCCAATGTCTGGGGTAGAGAAAATTCCAGTTGAAAGTACCAAGGGGTCATTTCCTGGGGAAATCGGGGTGGAGAATGTTCCACCTGGGACAAGGCCCCCAGGGACTGAAAATGTACCTGTGACAGAAACAGCGACCCGAAGATATCCTGTTAGGGAGAGGAAGCAACCAGATAGACTGTCTTATTGAACTGTTAGTGTCACATTAACACTGCTGGGATCTTAAATACCTGGGTCACAGACCTTGTAACATTCCTGTCATAGAGACCTCGTATAGTGTATTCGTGTGTTGACACTGGATTGAGGTATTGACCTACTGACCACATTTTAGGTCAGTGTGACATTTGTGTTTCAACGATAGGCATTGATTTGGATACTTTGCTTATTAAACGGCAGTAAGATCGTACTATTATTTCAGGTTACGTTTTCTTTGTATATTTTTATGGGGGAAAGGTGTAAAATATTAGGTTTTGTTTGATAAATTCTGATGGTAAACAGAAGTCGTTCATGTAATGTTATCAGTGGTTCGGAAAACGTTGTTACGTAACGCACGTGCAATACGTGCTCGGGCTTGGCTACCGATTGTCACTTGTCGTCTGATGAATAAAGGAAGTGGGAAGTTGGCAGGTTGTCTCTTGGTTATTGAAAGAACACTACATCATGAAGATTGCTTTTTGCTTGAATATATAATTATTGTGCTAATTTACGGATTATTCATAAGTTTATTTCCCAATGATCTTGAACCGAATTCACGACTGATGCCAAGGGTGATCTTACAAGAATGTGAATAACTTAATACGTTACGTCAAAACAAAAAAGGACTATTGATCAATGCTGTATTAGAACATGGTGGATAGGCAAAATTACGATTATGGAAGAGTTCTCAAATATTGTGACTGTGTTATGTTATCATTTGTCTTTTTTGGTTTTTAAGCCCAGGTGGCTGAAAGGTTTAATGAACAAATTTGCTTCACTATGAAATTGAAAGACGCGTTGTTCTTATTCAAGAGGTATCTTGTGAGATCTGTACAGAAAAAGCGAAACGAAGAAGACCGCCCCAGTGGTCTAGGGGTAGGGCGTCCGCCCGGAGAGTGGGAGGTTCTGGGTTCGATCCCCGGCCGCGTCATACCAAAAGACGTTAAAAAATGGTACTTGCTGTTACCCTGCCTGCCACTCGGCGTTGGTCGGCTCAGAGTCAGTGCACTGTGTCTGAGTGGGGTATTCATATTAAACTGCGGCATATTATCTCTATCACTATATGACATAACTATAAACATCGACATTAGTCCGGGCTAGTACAAGCAGTCACGCATACACACGTGCATGCACCTCGCTTTATAAAAATGCAATAATCTTGGACGCGACGTTAAACCCAGTTTCACCTCACCTCACCGAAACGAAGACGTTCATGTACACGTGTATAAAGCTAACGACGTTGTGATATCTCTTCTATCCAGGTAGTGTCTTATCTCGTCATGTCTGTAACAGACCCATGCTGTGCACGGATGTTCTCTTTAATACTCTTCCCACAGACTGGAGACACTGTGTTACGGAGATGTATCAAACAGTCGTAGGTACCTTATGAGCAGACATCTCGTCGCTACCCGTGGGTAAGAACTAACGTGTCTGTTGTGTCAGCAATATTCCAACGTCGGTCTGTAAATAATCGAGTCTGGACCAGACAATCCAGTCATGGATATCATGAGCATCGATTCAAGCAATTGGGATCGATAACATGCATCAACCAAGTCAGCGAGCATGACCACCCGATCCCGTTAGTCGCCTCTTACGACAAGCATAGTCAAGACATGTGTGATTGTTGCTCTCGCTCTGTTCAGCTATACTACGGCTACATCATGACTTGCGTCCACGACATGAGACCATGAATAACTACCCACGATCAACCAGTGATGCATTGTAACCACATGGCCTCTCTCATGACAGGGACACCGACATGTTTGTGTGTGTGTGTGTGCGTGCGTGCGTGCGTGCGTGCGTGCGTGTGTGTGTATGTGTGTGTATGTGTGTGTGTGTGTTTTGTCTTATCAGCATAAGAGTTTCTTTCAAATGACTCTCGTGTATTAATGTGTGCCTGTAATGCGACAAATCCATACCCAAAAGCGCTACATTATTAACCCGGCCAACAGATCAGTGTACGCGAGATTTACATTCTAAACTCTCTGGGGAGTATACAACTCAAGCTGCCTGGTAGAATGTTAACATATTTCGAAATAAGTCACTTGCTTCAGTTTGGGGCAGGAACGAAGCCTTAGACGCACTCGGGAGTCAAACTGTTGAACACGGTCACCCATCCATCTACTCGCCGCCACCAACGTTGCTTACATGCCTGAGTTGTGACACGTGCGCTGTACGAGGCCTACGCGTCACCACGTGTCTCCATTCAGCTTACATATTGGGGTCCTACATGTAATTATTTCTAAATGCGTTACAATTTTATCACGTCTTAAAAGACATGCTGACGGGATTGAGGGATTTTAGAAAAGAGTATGTATGTTACTCCTGTATATTATATTTTCTCATCAAAGGGTTATGTAACTACTTTATTAGAAACATCGTTACAGGTAACATTATGAAACACATCGCAATACATATTATTTTCTTAACCTTTAAGGATTATACAGATATTTAAAATATTTAATTGTTAATTTCAAAACGTTCTGTCATGAATCTCCTATAATAATGTCAAGTCCTCAAATTATAGGATGCAGGTTCGAGCCTCTCTGGCGACACATGTTTTCCGACAAAATGTGAAATTCTTCACTTTAGAGTCACAATAAAGAATGGTTCGTTAGTTCCAAGTGTACATTATTGAAATGTGGGTTAAATATAATGAAGGCATGACTAATTAACAACCAACTGGCGTGAAAAATAGTGGATCTTTTAAACAATAGAGTGACGTCACAGATGTGTTTTATCGAATGTTATGTAACGCACAGTCAGCTTTATTACGACTCCATGTAGCTACCAGTAATTGAAAACTTGGCGCAGTGATTCATGCCTTTATATGATACATATATAACCATCCAGTTTGCCTTCTTCAGCTAAGGGTACAACATGGCAAGATCCGCTTGGCACCTTTGATAACATAACAGATAACATGTTCTATTTTTATACTTATTAGCCTATGGAAGAATATGAATTTTTCGCGAATTTTAATTTCCATTTAGGATGCTTCAAAATGACCAACTCGTCGACTGAAAACATACAAAGAGCACTTTACATTGCCTACATATTTCAGGTGTGCAGGTTTAAAAAGTAGTCGCAGTCTGTGATTGGTCGAAGAGAATCAGGGAACTCCGCCCCCTTTCAACTACCTTGCAAACAAGCACAGCTCAACCTAAATTGTTTCTGTGACAAGGATGGTCTCAAGTTTCAAACACAGGACTAGAAACAAAACTAGGGACGATTTCACAGATCAATACTTATTGATCTCAAGTTTGTGTTGGCGTATATCGAGAATGATTGGCGACGTTAAGCAAACTTTAGGAATACGCCGCCGTTCTGCGTACGTGATTTATGTTTTTGGCAACGACCGATTAACTCGATCTTTAACATTGACTCATTCGTCATATGACGGCAGTACTAAAGTCACTTGTTAGAACAGGAGTGATGTCATTTAAAACCAACCAACTAAAACGAAATCATATTATTGATTGTCTCAAAAGTGGAAGGTTTGAAGTTGATTTCCTTAAACATCGAGGTATGAAAACGTTTAAATTCATGGTGGCTACACATAAAGTTATTTTTATCTTCAATTGAGTATTCTAGTCAAAAATTTTAACACTGCAAAAGAGTCTATGCGAGTGTACGAATGCGGTGTTAGTGCAGAATGTCATCATATTTGAGATGTAGATATCCAATGACATTTATTGAAAAAGAAAATTTGCATATAGTCTGACCATATAATCTGAAACGTCTCACGTGTTCAACATGTTGTCGTAGGAATATATAAATTATGAATTTACGCTATGTTTAGGTATGTTGATAACTTCACAACTGTAGCAATATATATTAACATCATAGCGACCAGAAATATGTCGAGTAATATCGTAGTGGGTAGTATTACTACTGATGTCAGAAAAAGAGTGAGTGAGTATGGTTTTTCGCTGCTTTTAGCAATATTCCAGCAATATCACGACGGGGCACACCAGAAATGGGCTTCACACATTGTACCCATGTGGGGAATCGAACCCGGGTCTTCGACAAGCGAACGCTTTAACCACTAGGCTACCCGACCGCCCCCAGAAAAAGAGTGATTAAATGAAAAGACGATAGGATTGCTCACACAGCGTTAAACATCAAACCTAGCCTTTTGTCCGCTGCTTCCTTCATAAGCCTGTCTGTCTGGATAAGTGAAGGTTCCAGACTCTTTGTTGTACAACTCTACCAGACTGTCAAGGGAAATGGCGAGGAAAATCTGCATGGCCCTGCACGCCAAACTAGTTATAGCTGACAGCTCTGAAAAGTCAACTGGAGCTTTGGAAGCCTATGGCTACCACACGGACGACAAGGTGTATGTACCAATTATCAAATAGTTACCCTATTATAAAGAGCATATCAGGTACAGGGATTGTTGTGTAGAAAGTAGTAGGTATTTGTTCAGCTACAGCTGCAAAGCCAGATATTTTAATAATAGATGAACTACATACCTATATTCAACTCATACTTTGTCAGAAATTCAAACTGGATTTAGAAAGGTCTATTCTACAAGCGACTATATATTTACACTACATAGTATTGCACATTTGTTGAAGAACCAAAAGAAAAAACTGTTTTTCTAAAACACCTTGAACAATTCTTCACTGTCAATAATTGTAATGTAAAATGTTATTCCCTTTGTTCTGTGCTGCTGAAAAGAACTCGATGTAGTTAGCGATTATTGCAATCGATGGAAACTAAAACTTAATGTTGAAAAATGTAAAGTCCTTACTTTTAATGGTAGCAACAGACAATATAGTTATACATTTGTACTATCAGATTTTTGTTGTAAATATAAATGAATATACATACCTTGCTGTTGTATTCAAATGAAATGTACTTTTACTTCTACTAGAAAATCTCTGTGTGAAAAGGGCATAAAGCCATGAATTGCATTTTACCAAGAGGCAGGTATTATAATTTGAACACTCAAATATGATTGAAACATCAACTTCACGTTCACGAGAAAAA